CCTAAAATGTCTAAAACCAAGCTGTGCCCGACCACCTTGGCACCTGTTCTCAGGATCTCCTACGGGCTTCGTCACGGACCGATGGTAACTTATATTTGGCTCGGGATAAATCTCTTCAAATATTTTACAGAGTTTGACTCTTTTCAGCGACACCAGGCTGACGGGGAGGGTAATACAGGCAGCAAGGACTGCATAGGCAACTGCGATGGCTCCGAATAACCTGGCAGGTTTTAAGAACCACAGCTAACTCAGTGGAGCTAGATTCAGGGCAGTGGATGAGGAGTGGTATGAGATGCTGAAGTTGTGATGCTCATGAACATAGGGTGTGTTTTTTCATCCACTCCTTCTTTGGTTATACTAAGGCAGGGGTCCCCAATCCCCAGGCCGTGGACGGGTAGCAGTTAGGAACTGGGCCACACAGCAGGAGGTGAGGGGTGGGAAGGAGAGCGTTACTGCCTGAGCTCTGCCTCCTGTCAGATCAGCATTAGTCTCATAGGAGCACAAACCCTTCTGCGAGGAGGGACCTAAGTTGCACGCTCCTTGTGAGAAGCTAACTAATCAGCCTGGTGATCTGAGGTGAAACAGTTTCATCCGGAAACACCACCCCACCCAACCCTTCCGTGGAAAACTTGTCTCCCACAAAACGAGTTCCTGGTGCCAAAAACGTTGGGGACTGCTGTACTAAGGGGTGTTAACTATATTTTGAAGGTGCTAAGAATTTTAAGCAGAACAATGTGAGCAGATGTTAGTTCTGCAGGGCCCAGGAGTCTTATTTTCATTCATTGCAAAGATACTTACTGAGCACCTCTTGTTGTCCTAGGTCCTAGTTGCAATTTTGAAAAGATACAGGAAGATATACCTACGGATCATTTTAACAATCCAGATGAAAAATGAGAGAGCTGATATTAGGCCAGTGGCAGTGGGGGTGGCCACCGCTTCCCTGTGGGGAGTGCACAAGGAGAATCTTGTACCTCCAAACTCAGCAGAGTTTCCTATTTCCTTCCTGTTTTCTGTCCTGGGCAGCAACTGGTGGTAGGCCTGGGGCACAGGGACAGTGCAACCTAGGGAACAATGCCCGGCTGGAAAACAATATATGGCCTGGAAGATAAATGGACTAAGGTGTGACCTCTGAGTGTGACGGTTGCAGAAGCACAGGTGCCCTTTGGGGATGCAGGATTCAAGTTCCTTCATGGGCTGCGTGGCCATCCCCATGGAGCAGGTCTCCACTGAGTGTCTCGAGTGCTTTCAGGATTCTGAGAATCACCCAAGAAGACCAAATACATCCGTTCTTCCTGATCCTAAATTTCGTGGGAATATAATTTCATGGCATTAAAGACAAACTATAGAGTGTTTTTTTGTTTTGTTTTGTTTTTGAGACCAAGTCTCGCTTTGTCGCCCAGGCTGGAGTACAGTGGTGCGATCTCGGCTCACTGCAAGCTCTGCCTCCCGGGTTCACACCACTCTTCTGCCTCAGCCTCCTGAGTACCTGGGACTACAGGCGCCCGCCACCACACTCAGCTAATTTTTTTGGTATTTTTAGTAGAAACGGGATTTCACTGTGTTAGCCAGGATGGTCTCGATCTCCTGACTTCGTGATCCGCCTGCCTCAGCCTCCCAAAGTGCTGGGATTACAAGCGTGAGCCACCACACCCGTCCTTAACTATAGAGTCTTATCCAGAGCTTTTATCTGCTTGCTCAAGGGGCATGGTCTTGAATAATTTCTGGGGAAAGGTTTCCTGTGGAATAACCCTCTTCACATTAGAAACCTGGGAAATTGAATTATGTCCCCGCATTTCCAGTCCTGGAATAGGGTATCCAGGACCTCTGCAGTGGCCACCACTAAAAAGTATCCTTCCCATCCTGGAAAGCTCTGAGCCACAGAAATTACTCTGTCAAACGCGTTGGAAGAGCTTTCCCCATTCCAAAGCCCTGAAATGGAGGGTTGACCCTGTCCGGGACTCTGTGTAAAGTGCAAGATCTCAGTAGCAGAGGAGGGAAAAGAGCGGAGGCCCCGGTCTCTCACTGGTGCCGCCAGGAAGTAAACACTCCATGGTGTAATTTGTGTGAAGAGAAAATTATCTCTAATTGGAGGGCTGGAATAAAAATATCTCCCATCTGTAAACAAAGTAGTTGGAGCATCCTGGAGGCACGGGACTGGTGCACCAGACTGCCGCAGGTACCCTCTGGGCCACCCCACCCAGATCGTCTCAGCCCTAACCCACCAGCAGCAGGTGCTCCGGGACCTCCCTTGAAGCCAATGAAGGCGGCAGACCTGTCCCTGGGGCTCATCTGTGTCCTCAGCCCCGAGGCACAGTCCAGAAAACAGCTTCTCACCTTCTCCCCAGGCCAGGGCAAATACTTGACAAGTCAAGTGAAGAGGGTAAAAAAATGCTGGTCTGTTTTATGCCATCACAGGGATCCCTCCTGGAAGGTGACTGGGGACGGCTGTTTGCTGGCTATCTCAGACACCTTTTCTCAGACACCTTTTTTTTGGTGTCTGCAGGGGCACCTGCTTCTCCACGTCCTCAAAGAAAGAATTGAGGCAGACACCTTGACATAGGCAGCATGGGTGATATTCACGGGACCTGAAGTGAGAAATTCCCAGGAACATCAGCCCTGGGGAAGCAATTCTGTGTCAAGGGCTTTCCTTGTGTTATTGTCCACTGTTGGCTGTCATATTGTGTTTTAAGGCGCACCAGTAAAGAGCCCTTGGCTGATGGAGATACCACCAGGATACTTTAACTCCTGCCCTAGCATAAGGGTGTGACTCTCTTTAACTCCTGGCATGTACGATATTTCTACTTAAAGACACACACACACACAAGCACACGAACACCTAGCCTTCTTGTGGTGAAATGTGAAAGGTTTATTAAATAGCTGCTTATAAAAGCCTCTCTCTAGGAAGCCACTTGACCAAAATCTGCCATTGGTATGTGCACTTTTTCAACAAAGGAGAGAAATGTGCAAATAGATCGAACTGCAGAAGAACTTTTCTTCTTTTGCAGACCACAAGCAGCATATGTTACTAGAGGAGATGGAAGTTTTGTCTGCCACTGTTTCTTTAAAGGGAGGTGGGAGAAGGATTTCCTATTTAAATAAAATTAAAGAAGTACTTTGAAGGAAAGAGCAGGGGATAAGAGTTGAAATAAAATGTGGAATAACGTAGTTGAAAATATTGTGAGGAAGATGGGACTTAAAGAGAGGGGAGATGGAGAAACAGAAACACACCCAGGTCTTTGAAAAGCCCTGAAGAAGAATGCTTTAAAGAAGGACTCTGGGGTCAGAGACTTCCATTAGTCAAAGGATCCCACTTCTCTCATGCGATGCGGGTTGACTTCAGATGATTGTTCAGGGCTAGAATAGCATGGTAAAGGAACAGAAGTCATGATCACGTTCTTATTTTTCTTTTCCTGAGGCACGAGGCATCAGTCAATACATGTAAGGTATACATTGGTTATGTCTAGAAAGGCGGGACAACTGTAAACAGGTGGGGTTGGGATTTCAGGTCATAGGCAGATTCAAAGATTATTCTGATAGAAAGGAATGTCTGGTCTGGCTCTGGGGCAGTGGCTCGCTTCTGTAATCCTAGCACATTGGGAAGTTGAGGTTGGCAAATTACTTTAGCCCAGAAGTTCAAGATCAGCTTGGGCAACATGGTGAGATCCCATCTCTACCAAAAAAAAGCAGAAAAATTAGCCAGCCATGGTGGCGCGTGCCTGTGGTCCCAGCTGCTCAGGAGGCTGAAGTGGGAGGATTGCTTGAGCCTGGAGGTCGAGGCTCAAGCATGAGCCATGATTGTGTGCCACTGCGCTCCAGCCTGAGCGACAGGGTAAGACTGTGTCAAAAAAGAAAGAAAAAAAAGCAAACAAGCGAGCAATTAAGAAAGGAATGTCTGGGTTAGAATAAGGGTTGTGAAGACCAAGTTTTTATCATATAGATGAAGCCTCCAGGTAACAGGCTTCAGAGAGAGAGAGTCTGTTGTATCAGTCTTTTCTTTTTCTTTTTCTTTTCTTTTTTTTTTTAGACAGGGTCTCATTGTGTTGTCCAGGTGGAGTGCAGGGGCACGATCTCAGCTCACTGCAACCTCCGCCTCCTGGGTTCCAGCAATTCTTCTGCCTCAGTTTCCCAAGTAGCTGGAACTACAGGCATGCACCACCATGCCTGGTTAATTTTTTGTATTTTTAGTAGAGACAGGGTTTCACCATGTTGGCCAGGCTGGTCTTGAAATTCTGACCTGGGGTGATTTGCCCACCTTGGCCTCCTAAAGGGCCTGGATTACAGGCATGAGCCACTGCACCTGGCCCTATCAGTCTTAAGATCTGTTTTAATGTTGATGCTGGTCAGTTGGCCTGAATTCCAAAAGGGAGGAGGGTATAAGGCATATCTAACTCCCCCATCGTAGCTAAACTAGTTTTTCAGGTTAACTTTGAAGTGCCTTTGGCTGAGAGGAGGGGTCAATTCAGATTGTTGGGGGGCTCAGCTTTTCTGTTTGTTTTTTGTTTTGTTTTGTTTTTGAGACAGAGTCTCGCTCTGTCACCCAGGCTGAAGTGCAGTGGCACGATCTCAGCTTACTGCAACTTCCACTTCCTCGGTTCAAGTGATTCTCCTGCCTCAGCCTCCCGAGTAGCTGGGATTACAGGCGCCTGCCACCATGCCCAGCTAATTTTTGTATTTTTAGTAGAGACAGGGTTTCACCATGTTGGCCAGGCTGGTCTCGAACTCCTGACCTCATGATCCTCCCTCCTTGGTCTCCCAAAGTGCTGAGAATATAGGCATAAGCCACCACACCTGGCCAGGGCTTAGCGTTTAATTGTTGGTTTACATTCAGTTCCCTGAGCTCTTTTAAGAAATGCATCTCTCCTTAGTAAGCTACAGCTTAGAAATAAGCATATGCAGATGGAAAATGCTGCGATGGAGGCAGAGCCTCCTCAGCCCTGCTCACAGAATGCTTCCAGGGCTTTGCTGCTGGCCTCATTGAGCTCTGATTCCCTTCTGCACAGGGTCGGAGCTCTCCAGGGAACAATGAAAACCTAAGGAAGAGCAGACCACTTCACAGCCACGTGTGCCCCACCCCACTCTGCTGCATCCCTAGTTAGACTTCCATTCCAAGAACTGCCTCAGCTGTTGGCAATGACATGCCGACTCCATCTGCAGAGGAAAATCAATGTTTTACAATGAAGCACCTGCCATCCACTCTCCTAGGAACCTCTGCCCCTTATGGAATATTCATGCAGCCTTTCTTTGTAATCTCGGTCTGAGTTTCAAAAGATTCCCTAGCAGAGAAGACCATTTAACAGACAGACCATTTTACAGTGCAAACACTGAAAATTCTGCAGGAGAAAAGAGGCACTGGTTTTTTAAAACTGTACTCTGTCCACAGTCAGACACCATCTCACATTTCCAAATAACCCAAACAGTTCCTTCAGTTAGGTAAATATGCCTGGCCAAGTGACCAGGCGCTAAAGGGAATAATAGGGAAAAGAGAGGGCAGAAAAAAATGTCAGTGGGCCTAAGACGAATCTTCTTCTTTTTAATTTCTCGATTTTGTGTTTGATAAAGGGAAAGGGGCCACCATTATAAAACAACTTTTACACACTTTTACTTGTGATTTAGTGCATGGTGACCTGGAACGTAAAGAAGGTTTATGAATGGAAAGACAAATAGGATCATAGTAGGTAACTGAGTTATTTTTAAATTTTTATTCTGTCTCTATAAGATTTTTGAGAAGGTAATCAATTCACATAAAGATCCGAGCAGTTATAAAGATTTACAAAGATTATACAGTGATGGAAACTGAAGTATATTCTTGGCAACAGTCTCAATGTATTTCACGTTTCCTGGCATTTACATATATAAATTTTGTATACATAATATATAAATATTCTTCTATTTTGCATAAAAACTAAAAATACTAAAAAAGTAACATGAGTATACAAAAAAGTTAAACATTGAAAATATTAGTTGGAAACTGGCTTATTTTGCTAACAATTATATTGAGAATTGTTGCTAGATTGTTGTTTCTGGGAACATTGGAGGTGTACTTTCTATACTTGCTAAAATACAAGCTTTTCAAGTATTTTCCATAGTATTAAGTGAGACTTTAAATACTCCTGTTTTTTAAGATCTAATTTCTGCTTCAATTTATCCTTCTCTTCATTTTTCCTGTTTGTCCTCATCTTACCTGTTCTTCCCTGGTTTTGCCATCTCCCAGTATTCAGGAATCAGAGCAAATAATTAGTCTGCTTTTCTGCGGAATAAACTATTGGGTATACCATCATGCTTTTGATCTACCACAGAAACAAATTATTTTAGCAAGACATCATTTTTATGTATTGTATAATGTATGTATTGCTTATGTTTTAAGCAGATTTCAGCTCTTTTCCTTCCATCACATTTGGAATTGGGGGCCCAAAAGATGTGAAGGCAATAAAGCTTCCAAGATAACTGGGCTGCATCCTTATTTGTAAAATAAGAAATACTTTGTTTCCCAAATTTTAAAGGAGTGTTCCTTCTCCGACCTGTTGCGATGGATTTATTCTATAGCTATACAAATATACCCTGCTTCACTCTTGGACATACTTCTTTACTCTCCTCCCGCCAAGTCCGTTGAAGGAGAACCCATGTGCCGGTCCAGAGCATCGCTGCATCCGTAAGCAACCAGACTTCAGCTTCCTCTGTCACCATGGTGCCGGCTCGGCTGGGCCCGGCGGTCGCCATGGTAACTGGGGCGGGTCGCGGCGTCCTGGCGGGCTGGGCGCATGCGCGGGGACTACAAGCTGCGCCGCGCGGCCGCTGGCCCCTCAGCTCCCCTCGACATGGCGCTGAGGCGGCCGCCGCGACTCCGGCTCTGCGCTCGGCTGCCCGACTTCGTCCTGCTGCTGCTGTTCAGGGGTGAGTGTGCGCGTTTCCGCTGTTGGGAGACTAGGGTTGGGGGCGACGGAAGCAGAGCGGGCCGAAGCGGCTGGAGCCGGTCCGGGAGAGAATAGCGGTCCCGGCTCCGAGGGCGCCCGGGGTCCCGGGCCGGAGGGGCGGCGCGCGCCCGCGTTCCCGCAGCGGGGCTGGGACTCGGGCCTGGCTGGGCGGGGGCGGGCAGGAGGGGCCCCGGGACGGCCGCAGTTGGACCTGGGCGGGGAGCTAATTTGGGGTGGGGGCGCGTCCCAGGCAGTGAGTCGGCCCCGGACAGCCGTCGGACCCCGGGGGCGGGCTCCTCCCGGGCGGGGTCCTGTGCTGGGCGGTGGGCTCGTCCCCGGCGTGGGGCCCTCCCGGGCGGTGGGCACGGCCCTCTGGAGGGAGCGCGGCAGCTGCGGCGTGGGCGCTGGAACTTGCTGGAAGACCCTGCGCGGCAGTGCTGTGCTCTCCAGAAGGGACGGTGAGCGGGGGACGTCGCCGAGGAGCAGCGAGGTAGGGCTCCGAGGCCTGGCGGGCTGCTGGGCACAGCCTTCTGGGGATCTGCAGTTCGTTTGACTCGACGCAAACAAAGGAGCTGCTTTTCTTTTGCAGAAATAAAATGGATATCAATCCAGTACCTTTTTTGTCTCTGTCCTGGCCGAGGAGACCACGCAGACCCTTATCCGGAAATAGCATTCGGGGCATTTGACCAAGACACACTAATAAACTTGAGTTTTGTCAGTTTTCTTTCCCTCTGTTTGGAATTCTCATTAGATCCACATTTTCCTGGACAGTTGTACAGAGGACTAAAATAGCTTTCGTTTAGTGAGCGTGTACTATCTCCTAGGCACTTTGGAGCCATTATCTCCTTCACTCCTTTCAGCAACTCTGTGAGGTTAGGTTTCATTAATCTATTTTCAGAGTCAAGTCTAGTCTGCTTTCCAAGGCTGCATTCTAAGTAAGCAGTGAAGCCTCAACCTCATATTTACCTAAAGCAGTACTCCACACTTTTCCCCTGGCAGCCATCCGCAGGTAACCAGACCAGGACCTTTTTCGGTTCTTAGGTCATTTTATTATTTAGTTGAGTTGCCACTGTCACCCCATAATGTTTTACAGAATATACAAATTAAAACACGGAGGGACTGTTTAGGAGTGAAGGTGGACAGATTTTGGAAAACAAAGCATTCCTGTGTTTGGTGCTTTATGCTAATGGGATGCTCGTGATGGGCTCTGTGACAAAAGATGAGTTTTAGCGTGTAGATGATACACGCTAAGGCAAAGTCTATATACTTTGCCTGAAAGTGATTCCCCAAAGCAGTTGGGAGATAAGTGATCAAAGGCTAGCCAGGGGACAAGGGTGTCAGGAATGTCCAGCACCCGCTGTGTTGGTCACACTGACACTGTCCTATTCACAGCCTGGAACAACTCTCTATTGTTGAAAAGATCTGTTCACGTGAAAGTTTGCAGTTTTTGTTGCAGAAGCATTTGGCAGTTTAGCTCAGGAATGAATTTCAACTTGGTAGTTTGTTAATAAAACTAGAAAATGCGAAGAGCTTCACATACCCTTAACCTCTGATTTCCTTCCCCTAAGGGACTAGTTTTGTGGCTTTTTTGCTAGTAGGGGCTGGGATTTACATGCAGAGCATAGGAGGTAGAATCGAATTTTGCAAACTAGTACTAATGACAGAGAATCGAGGTGATAGGATGTATTAATCCACTTGCAAGGCATGTAGCTATCTTTTTTTAGTAGGGGGCTCGTTTTCCATTATTTGGTTTATGCTTTAAGCATACCCTAAAACTGTTCTTCCAGAAGTCGTGACAACTGTGTCTTTTTTATTTTTCATGATTATTCTCAATTGCTATTACAATTTATTTTCGTTTTAAAAATTTTGGTTCTTGATATAATAGCAAACACTTCTTTTGTGGTTACCCTTTGCCAGGCTCTGTTACAAGAATTTAATGTGTACTAATTTATTTAATCTTGATAACTCTAAGAAGTTGTTACTATTATTGTGCCCTTTTGTGGATGAAGAAAGAGAAGTATGGAGAGATTCAGACCCTTGTAGGGAGTGATAGCCTTTGCGTTTTAAATGGGAAATCCTTTATTACTTGTGTTAATCCAATTTTTAGTTTTTTGTATTATTCCATTTGACGGTGGAGTTCTTTTAATGGATCAGTTTAAACAAATTATCAAGTTTTCAACACTATGTGGTTTGTATATAAAATATTCTTTTGTTGACTCATGACAGGTGCGGTTCAGCTTTACAAATGTTATGCCACATGTCTCTTTTGAATGATTGTGTACTAATTAGTGTTAGGTTTGCAAATCTTTGATATTCTAGAGGAAGTGCCTTATTTAGAATTAAAACAGTAACAGTTTTCATTCTTCAGATAAGACAATTTGTGTGCTGAAGCATGTCAAAATCTGAAAATCAAAATTTCTGGGAAATTTTTGAAAAAATGTTTAATTCTTTTATTTGCGTTTGTTTGGACTCCAGTAACATTTTTTAGAATGGCATATTCTTTTGTGTTGTTCTAATTCTTAATTATGTGGCAGATATAATCTTTGTCAGACTTGTATGTATGTTTTTAAAAAAACAAAGAACACCTGTCTTGAAAGCATGCAGTACTTTATATCAGCTGCTCATTCCCACATGACTTGTTGATGGGCATTTGTTCTTCAGTGCTTCAGGCTAAGGAGACTGAATGGATAAGTACTAGAGATACTTAATCATAAGTAATTGCAGTATTACATCCAGGCAGAATTATCCACACAACCCCTAAGCTCTATGGAACTTGTTTTTAAGGAAACTCCATGGGGCGGGTTTATTTTTTTTATTTTTTATTTTTATTTTTTGAGACGGAGTCTTGCTCTGTAGCCCGGGCTGGAGTGCAGTGGCCGGATCTCAGCTCACTGCAAGCTCCGCCTCCGGGTTTGCGCCATTCTCCTGCCTCAGCCTCCGGAGTAGCTGGGACTACAGGCGCCCGCCACCTCGCCCGGCTAGTTTTTTGTATTTTTAGAAGAGACGGGGTTTCACCGTGTTAGCCAGGATGGTCTCGATCTCCTGACCTCGTGATCCGCCCGTCTCGGCCTCCCAAAGTGCTGGGATTACAGGCTTGAGCCACCGCACCCGGCCATGGGGCGGGTTTAAATCAATTCTTTTGAAAGCAACCAGACTTTCATCAAGTATAAGTTGACCACATAATGTAACAGACACAGCTATGGATTTAGTACATTCAACTAGCAGCTGTTAGAGATGTGATATTAGCAAATTCCTTCTCCATAAATTCTTTGAATTTTTTAAAAGCACAAATGTAATAAAAGAAAGGAAAATATGTGTGAATGAAGTTAGTATGTATGGAGTCTGCTGAAGAATACCCTAGTGGTGAAGTTGGATTTTTTTTTTTTTTTTTGAGACAGAGTTTCTGATGCAGTGACGTGAGCTCAGCTCACTGCAAAGCTCACTGCAAAACTCCGCCTCCCAGGTTCAAGCCATTCTCCTGCCTCAGCCTCCCAAGTAGCTGAGATTACAGATGCGTGCCACTTTGCCTGGCTAATGTTTGTATTATTTTTAGTAGACATGGGGTTTCACCATGTTGGCCAGGCTGGTCTTGAACTCTTGACCTCAACTGACCTGCCCACCTTGGCCTCCCAAAGTGCTGAGATTACAGGCGTGAGCCACTGTGCCCAGCTGGATTCTCTTTTAAGATATGTTTATAGTTGGCAGGGTGCGGTGGCTTATGCCAGCACTTTGGGAGGCCGAGGCAGGCAAATCACAAGGTCAGGAGATCAACAGCATCTTGGCCAACATGGTGAAACCCTGTCTCTACTAAAAATACAAAAATTAGTCGGGCGTGGTGGTGCGCGCCTGTTGTCCCAGCTGCTCTGGAGGCTGAGACAGGAGAATCACTTGAACCTGGGAGGTAGAGGTTGCAGTGAGCCGAAATTGTGCCACTGCACGCCTGCTTGGGGGACAAGAGTGAAACTCTGTCTCGGGGGGAGGGGGGAAATGGTATGTTTATAGTCAGGTGGTGTGAATGTTATGCTGTTAAAGTTGAATGCAAATTTCAGATCTTTGTATATAGTTTCAGAATTCTAGCAGTATATGCAAATAGCTTCACTGGAGTGTAAAGAGATCCTGAAAGTTTTCGTAAGCACATTCTTTTACACCTAGTTTAGCAAGGACAGTATCCACTGTGGTGCTGTATATGGAGAGCTAAAGCCTTAATTGACTGTCTCTTTGCTTCTTGGCGTGGCACACAGAAAGCCTCCTGAGAGTTAGCCCGTGTTTCTGATGTCCCAGGAATGCTGTAGTGTTTTGTGTTGGTGAGTTTCTTTTGGTTTTAAGTAGTATCTGTTATGTGTTATATGTTACATTTCCCATGACTAGTTAATACATACAGCAGAGGTTTCAGTGCTGCTTGTATAAAGACATCAAACTATTTAATATAGTTAGGACTATGTGAACATTTTTTCTTAGTTATCTTTCATTTCCAGAGTTTCCCGAGGTTTCTATGGTTCAACCTTCCTCCTGAAAATTATTGCCAAAATCAAATTCTGCCATATTCATACTATCTGCTGTGTTTGACAACCTCAGCCCACAGCCCACAGTGATCCTTCCTATCTCTAAATAAGCTTAGATCATAGCCTTTAGTTCAGTTTAGTACAACAGCCATT